CACTGTCTTCACTCATTCAATATGGTTTTGGAAACTTTTTCCAGAGCACTGAGACAAGAGAAAGAAATAAAAGAAAGAAGGATACGAAAGCAAGAAGTTAAATTATCATTATTTGCAGATGACATGACACCCTACATAGAAGACCCCCAAAACTCTGCAAAAGACTTCTAGATTTAATAACCAAATTCAGTAGCATAGCAGGATACAAATTCAACACTCAAAAACCAGTAGCCTTTGTGTACATGAATAAGAAACTCACTGAGAAAGAAATTAGGGAAATAACAACTTTCACAATAGCATCCAAAAAATGAAGACCTAGGAATCAATCTAAGAAAGGAAGTAAACAAACAAACAAACAAAAAAACCACCTCTACATTGAAGGAGATTGAAGAGGAGCTTGAAGAGGATATCAGAAAATTGAAAGATATCTCATGCTCCTGGGTAGGAAGAACAAATACAGTGAAAATGGCCATACTTCCAAAACAGATTTATTCCAATCCCAATCAAATTTCTAACAACATATCTCACAGAATTAAGGAAAACAATCCTAAAATTCATTTGGAACAAGAAGAGACCTAGAATAGCAAAGGCAATTCTGGACAACAAAGAGAAGCCTGGGGGCATCACAATCCCTGACTTAAAATTATACTACAAAGCTACTGTGATAAATACAGCAAGGTACTAGAAGGAAAAAAAAAAAAAGATCGAGGACCCATGGAACAGATTAGAAAGTGCAGAACAACTCTAAACACACTCAGTCTCCTTACCTTGACAAAGATGCCAAACACCTTCACTGGAGGAAAGACAGCCTCTGTAACAAATGATGCTGGAAAAACTGCCTAAACTAAAATCAAAATGAACCAATGATCTAACTATTCAAATAAAAACACTAAATCTGCTGGAAGACAGAATAAGTAGAACTTGTGAAGACACTGGTGTAGGCAAAGAGTTTATGAATAAAACTTTGTTTGCACAGGAAATATCACAAACTCGACACCTGGGATGTCATGTTTTTAGGAGGCTTTCACAGCAAGAGAAACCACCCCACAGTGAAGAAACAACTCACACAATGGGAAGAATTTTGACAGCTGTTTCTCAGACAAAGAACTAATACCTAGACTGTAGAAGAACTCAAAAAAAATCAGTCCCCTCAAATTCAAAGACCCAATCCAAAAATGGGCATCTAAAATGAATAGACACTTTCCAGATGAAATAAAAATGACAAATATATGAAAGAATGTTCAACATCACTGTCCATTCGAGAGATGTAAATTAAAACAATCCTGAGATTCCATCTCACTCCAGAAAGAGTGGCTATCATCAAGATTTGTTAAATGCTGGTGGGGCTGTAAGGAAAAAGAACCCCTTCTCCATTGCTGGTGCGAGTGTAAACTGGTGCAACCACTGTGGAAATCAATCAGATTCCTCAAAAACTAAAACTAGAGGATTCTTCCTACCTAGCTATTCTGAGTGTCTTCCCGAAAGATTAAAAACATCGTACCACAGCAATATATGCACACTCATGTCTATAGCAGCAGATTTTGTAATCTTGGAAACAGCACAAACGTCTACCAACCGATGAATGAATAAAGAAGATGTGGGTTTTTTAATACAATGGAATACCATTCTTCCATAAAGGATAAGCTTCAGCCATTTCTAGCTAAATGGAAGCACCTTGAGACCACATTCTTAACTGAAATGAATCAGACACACGTTTAAATACCACACTGCTTCTCTGTTGTGAGGAATCAAAAGTGTAAACAAGAACCAAAATGTATAATAGATATTGGGAAGTGGGAAGAAAATGCTCAGATGAGAAGGGGAACAAGTGAGAAGGCGGGGGAAAGGAAGGAAGGGAAAAGAAAAGAAAGGGAAAAAATGGAAACAAAGCTTTTGTAAATAAGGAGGGGAAGAGGGGTTGAAGGAAGGGGAGGGGAAGGGGAAAAAAAAAATCAAGATATATCATGTACAGATAGAAATTGCCTAAGATGAACGTTATCAGTATGTATATTTAATATGTACCAATAAAAATGTAAAAATAATAAAAATAATAATTACTGGGAACTACAACCCCCTATGGAATTTACATTTTTATATATATTTTTTTTTTCTTCAGGTACCAGGAATCGAACTCATGACCTTGCGCTTGCCAGGCAGGCGCTGCGCTGCAGAGCTAAATCCCCAGCCCAGAATTTACATTTTTAAAACCCACACAGGAAATCGGACCACATCTACCGGCCAGCTGCGACCCACACGCGGCAGCCTGCGAGCCCCAGGCACTGGCTGTGCGCTTCCGCAGCTCCCCGCGGTTTACCCTGGCCGTGAGGCTCCGCCCACGCTCAGGCTCCGCCCCCGGGACGGCAGGACCCACAAAGCATCACCGGAGCGATTTGAGCTTGCGCACTTCCCCAGTACGAGGAGGAAGCCCACGCGCGACCCGGAAGGCTTTCTTGCCACACTCCAGATCCTGTGTGAGGGACTTCGATGGCGGAGGGACTGGTGGAGGCTCCCGCCGATAGTGGTGCTGAAGGAGACTCGGGAGTGAGCGTGTTGGAACGGGGAGTGGCGCCCATTAAGCCTCAGTGAGTCCCTAGGGCACGAGGGGGATAACCTTTTGTGGTCTTTTCGGTACCCGTAGCGCGTCCCGAGCGGTGCACGCCGGGAGGTAGGGCAGCGGCTTCGTGCGGGAAGCTCGCAGGGTCTTCAGCAGGGCTCATTCTGCATCCTCATGGTGGTCCGCGGCGGCACCACAGATCGTGCACTTTGGAAGCTGTCATATGTCCAAAGAACGGCCACGTGCATGCTAGGGCAGGCGGGGGTTAGAGAGGCCCGCGGTGCTTGCTGGGAACTGTAGTCCCTCCGAATGGCTGGAGTCGCACGTGTGCACAGCCGCTGCAGTTAGCGGCGGGGTACTTGTGCCCGAAGCGAGTGGCGCATGGTGTTCTGGGACTTGTCGTGTCTTTTTTTTTTTTTTTTTTTTTTTTTTTTGAAACAGGGTCTCGCTATGCAGTTCAGACTGGCCTTAGGTTCACTTTGTAGCGCAGGCTGGTCTCGAACTTGCAACGATCCTCCTGCCTCAGCCTCCCAAGTGCTGGGATGACAGGCGTGCGCCATCACGCGCGGCTGCGGTGTCTTATGGGCTGAAAGACTGCTGGAAAATGTGGTGGCCTGGTGCTTGCTGCAAGGCTTTCTGGGACTTGTTTATTTATTTTTACTTTTTCCGGATTAAGGCTGTTCATGCCTGGTAACATTAGTTTAGCATGACTTTGGGCAGTACTGTGTAAATCAGGGACAAAAATAGGGTCTCTCAGAGTGGGCGTGGTGACGCACACCTGTAATCCCAGAACTGAGGGAGGTTAGACTGGAGGATATCATGATGAACTCCCTTCTGAACAACTGGGTGAGAACCTTTCAAACTAAAAAAGGGCGCCGGTGTGGCTCAGCGGTGCAGTTGGGTGCGCTTGCCAGTACATACAAACATGCATACATACATACAAAAATAAATAACAGTTCTCCCTCTGGCTCCCTCCCCATCTGGTTCAGAGTAGTAGCTCCTGGAAGCATTCAGGCAGGGGCAACTAGCCGGCCGTGGTGGCGCAGGCCTGTAATCCCAGCACTCGGGAGGCTGAGGCAGGAGAATCATTGTGAGTTCGAGGACAGCCTGGGCCACGTAAGTGAATTCAAGGCCAGCCTGAACTGCCTAGTGAGACCCTGTCTCAAGAAAGACCAAAAAAAAAGCAGGAGCAACTATTCTCATTCCCCAGCATTCCTTGAGGAACCCCTGAAAGCGTTCTTTTCCTCCCCTCTCTGCCGGCAGATTCCTCACCACCAGGGAACACTTCCACAGGTTCCTGGAAGGCAAAGGGCAGGAGAAGCTCTGCCAGGAAACTGAGGCAGGAGACCCGGATGGCAAGGACGTGCCTGAGCCTGAGGCCAAGAGGATCCGATTGGAGGATGGGCAGACGCAGGAGGCAGCGGAGGCTGGGGAGCAACCACAAGCACAGAAGAGAGCGCGGGGCCAGAACAAGGGCCGGCCCCACATGAAGCCTGCGCAGTATGACAAGAACCGGCTGTGCCCTTCCTTGATACAGGTGAGCTCGGTCCTGCCAGACCATCCCAGGCTCTGTCTGAGTCTCTCTGCCTATTTGGCCCTCCACTCATCAGTCATGGTCTGCCTTGAGTATGATTTATGGGGGTTTAGTTTGTCATTTCTTTTGTTATTTATTTATTCATTCATTTATTTTGCAGTGCTGGGTGTGGAACCCAGAACCTCATGCATGCTAGGAAAGCACTCAACACTGATCTGTATTTCCAGCCTTTACTTTATTTTGAGACAGAGTCTTGCCAAGTTGCCAAAGCTGGCCTTAAACTCATGGTTATCCTGCCTCAGCCTCCCTGGTAGCTGAGATGACAGGCATAGCACTGTGCTCAGTTTGCTGTTTGACTTGCAGTGGTGGGAAAGTGATTTATACTCAGTAGAAACTGCACCTTAGCAAGGCGTGGTGGCGCACGCCTGCAGTCCCAGCACTTGAGAGGCTGAGGCAGGAGGATCACTGTGAGTTGGAGGCCAGCCTGGGCTACATAGTGAGTACAAGGCCAGCTGGAACTGCATAGTGAAACCCTGTCTCCGAAAAACCAAGAGAAAAAAACAAGAAGAGTCTGCACTTTAAATTTTGATCTTTTCTGGGCTATAATGTGTCACCTGATCCTCTCTTGAGGTGTTCCGGCCCAGTCAGCCCAGATCATGAGGGTGAATAATCCACACTGGTGCATTGTGTAGCTAAGCTAGGACATACTGAGTTGTTTTGTTTTGTTGAGCCAGGATCTCACTGTATAGTCCAGGCTGGCTTTGAACTCACTGTGTAGCCCAGCCTGGCCTCAAACTCGTAGCAGTCCTCCTGCCTCAGCCTCCCGAGTGCTGGGATTACAGGCGTGCGCCACCACGCCCGCCCTCTTAAGTTTGTTTCTGACCCCACTGTAAACTGGGAGCACTTGCCTTGCTTCTCTTCCTGTTTACAGAAGAAGAAACTGAGGCATACTGGGGGGGTGTGCCACTCCCAGGCGGCTTCCCACTGCCCTCCTGCCCCTCACCTTCCCTCGCAGCCCCCTTGTCCCCCACAGGAGCCGCCTGCGCAGTGTCTCTTTGGGGACCGCTGCCGCTTCCTGCACGACGTGGGCCGGTACCTGGAGAGCAAGCCGCCCGACCTGGGCGCCCGCTGCGCGCTCTTCGAGGCCTTTGGCCGGTGCCCCTATGGCGTGACCTGCCGCTTCGCCGGTGCCCACCTGGGGCCTGAGGGCCAGAACCTGGTGGCTGAGGAGCTGCTGGCCCGCAGGGCCCACCTGCCGCCCGTGCGCAATGCTCTGGACAAGGCCCTGCAGCGGCAGCTGCGCAAACGCCAGGTCCACTTCGAGCGCGCAGAGCAGGCCCTGCGCAGCCTCAGCCAGGGCCCCGCGCCGGCTGCCGCTGTCGCCGAGCCCACGACCCCTGAGGGTGACCCGGGGCACAACCACCGTGCTGCCCAGCTGGACCCTGTGGGGCCGGGGACCGGCACCCCGCCCAGCAGCCCTGTGCGGACCTGCGGGCCCCTGACAGATGAGGACACGGTCAGGCTGCGGCCCTGCGAGAAGAAGCGGGTGCGTGTCTCGGGCTCCTTGTTAAGGACGGCGCCAGTGCACACTGTCCTCACGGCTCGTCCGTGCTCCCGTTCCAGGCCCCTGGGACTCACAGGCTGTGCCCTGGATGTCCCACTTAGGACATCCTCTTTCCTCTCTGGGCTCAGCCCACCAGGTTCTGGTCTGGGGAGGCAGAAAAAACTAGACGCAGTCCTTGAGGGTCAGGGTGGGGAAGATGACGATGTAAGAGGTTTCCCAAAAGAACGGGCACAGCAACTGGGGCTTTTGTTGTTGTTGTTGTTGTTTTGTTTTTTTGGTTTTTTTCCGGTACCGGGAATCGAACTCACAACCTCGCACTTGTCAGGCAGGCACTGTGCCACTGAGCTAAATCCCCAGCACCCCTTTTTTTGTTGTTGTATTGGAAGTCGAACTCATGACTTCAGGCTTGCCAGGCAAGCACTTCCGCCGCTGAGCTACATCCCCGGCTCACAACTGGGGCTTTGACAGTTGAATAGAAGCTCTTCAGTAGTGGCAAATGTGGGTAAAGAATATTTAGTACATGTAGAAAGGTGCAGAAGTGAAAAGGAACCAGGCCGGGCAGGGCATAGAAAATCGTGTCCTAGACTGGAGAGAAAGGGGGCGCCAAGGTCTCACTGCACATCTTCTTTCCCCCCAGCTGGACCTCAGCGACAAACTGTACCTGGCCCCTCTCACAACGGTAGGACCTGCTTGAGGTCTCTGCGGCTAGTGCGGGGCTGGGGACGCTGCTGCATCCCACCTGTGGGTCTCAGGCAGGGCTGGGTATCTGGGACCCCTTCCTGATCCCCCCAGTATAACTCACATGTGTGTCCTGTGGCCCCAGTGTGGGAACCTCCCCTTCCGGCGGATCTGCAAGCGCTTCGGAGCGGATGTGACGTGTGGGGAGATGGCCATGTGCACCAACCTGCTGCAGGGCCAGACGTCCGAGTGGGCCCTGCTCAGACGCCACCCGTGTGAGGACATCTTCGGAGTCCAGGTCCGTTCCCAGCCCTGGGGGACGGGAAGAAGGGGGCCCCCAGCTGCCACGTTCGGGAGCCGCCTCAGGGACCTGCCTGGGTCACGTGCCCGACCCCTCTTGACTAAGGGTGGCATCTGTATCCGATGGTCTCGAAGAGATGGGCGCCTTGCGGGGAGGCTGCTGGGAGGGTGCTGGCTGGAGACCCCCGTGGCCCTGAGTGACAAAGAGGGACAGCTTGGCCCGGCCCCAGCCCGCTGTCCCTGCAGCTAGAAGGCGGCTTCCCAGACACCATGACCAAGTGCGCGGAGCTGCTGAACCGCACCATCGAGGTGGACTTCGTGGACATCAACGTCGGCTGCCCCATCGATCTCGTGTACAAGAAGGTAGCCGCCGCAGGCCCTGGGGCGCAGCCTTGCACCCGGCCATGCTGGCTCACGCCTCAGTTTCCCTGTCCTGGCAGTAAGGGGACCGAGCCAGCTGGTGACGTGGCGGGGTGGCGGTTTGGGAAGGTCAGCCTTTCCCCCCCACGGTGGCATCTGTGGGCACATGGGGCCGGGGGTGGTGGAGGGGTGCCAGGCCCACCGCGCTCCACCTGCGCTTCTCACCCAGGGTGGGGGCTGTGCCCTCATGAACCGCCCCGCCAAGTTCCAGCAGATCGTTCGTGGCATGAGCCAGGTACGCCGGCCGTCCCCCGCTGCCCCGCCCCGGCCCCGGCCGCCCGCCCGCCTGACCACACTCTCCCCGGCCACAGGTGCTGGACGTGCCGCTGACCGTGAAGATCCGCACGGGCGTCCAGGAGCACGTGAACCTGGCCCACCGCCTGCTGCCCGAGCTGCGGGCCTGGGGCGCCGCCCTCGTCACGGTGGGTCTCGGGCGCTGTGGGCAGCTTCGCTGTGGGAGCCCCGTGGGGAGCCCCGGCAGCCCGCCCTAACGGTGTCTCGCCTGGTCTCCTGCTCCTCCTCCCTCGCCTGCTCCTCGGCAGCCCGCCCTAACGGTGTCTCGCCTGGTCTCCTGCTCCTCCTCCCTCCCTCCGCTCCCTGCGCCCCTTGCCCCACCTCTGTCCCCTCCCAGCCCGCCCCTCCCCACCTCTCCCTCTCCGCCTCGCCCCTGCGGCCTCCCCCCAGCTCCACGGCCGCTCCCGGGAGCAGCGCTACACCAAGCTGGCTGACTGGCAGTACATCCGGCAGTGCGTGGAGGTGGCCAGCCCCATGCCGCTCTTCGGTGGGTGCCGCCCCCTGCCCCCCGGGGCCACCCACGCCCGACTCCCCCGCCCCGCCCCCACACTCCTGCTGCGCCGGGGGGCCTAGAATTCCAGAACAGCGGGTGGGCTTCTTGCTACCCTGCAACTCCCGAGAGCCCGTCTCTCCCCTCAGGGAATGGGGACATCTTGTCATATGAGGATGCCAACCGCGCCAAGCAGACCGGAGTTGCCGGGATCATGATTGCCCGGTGGGTTCCCCGCAGGCTCGCGGCACAGCTGCGGCCACCCTGGAGCCCAGCCTGGGGGGGGACAGGACAGGGCACTGGATATGTGTGAGCGCCCAGGGCCTGGAGGGGTGAGGTGGGCTGGGCTCCCCCTGACCTCCGCCCCCGTCCCCGCAGCGGCGCCCTGCTGAAGCCCTGGCTGTTCACGGAGATCAAGGAGCAGAGGCACTGGGACATCTCGTCCTCCGAGCGCCTGGACATCCTGCGGGACTTCACACGCTACGGCCTGGAGCACTGGGGCTCTGACACGCAGGGCGTGGAGAAGACGCGGCGCTTCCTGCTGGAGTGGCTGTCCTTCCTCTGCAGGTGGGCGCCGGCCCTGGCCCCGCCCCATGTTGTCGGCCCCCCTCCCCCAACCTAGCCGCCCCCCATTGTGACCCACTTGGCTGCGCCCTGACCACCCTCGGCCCCTCCCTGGCTGCCTCCCCCGGCTGCCCTTGGTCCCGTCCTCACGCGACCTAGGCCCCTTCCCGCCTAGCCTCGGCCCCGCCCTCAGCTCCCGCCCCGCCCCGCCCCGCAGGTACGTGCCGGTCGGCCTGCTGGAGCTGCTGCCGCAGCGCATCAACGAGCGTCCGCCCTACTACCTGGGCCGCGACTACCTGGAGACGCTCATGGCCAGCCAGCAGGCAGCTGACTGGATCCGCATCAGGTTCGGGGCGCCCGGGCGCGGGGGCACTGGGGCGGCCACCCCGATCCCCTGCCTGAGCCGATGCGTCCCTCTCTCCTCAGTGAGATGCTGCTGGGCCCGGTGCCGCCCAACTTCGCCTTCCTGCCGAAGCACAAGGCCAATGCCTACAAGTAGCTGCCACCCAGCACCGGCCGGTTTAGGGGACAACAGACTTTCTGCTCGTTGGTTTTTGGGGCAGAGGCTTTGCCTTTTGAGACAGGGTCTGGCTATGTAGGCCAGACTGGCCTGGAACTGTGCAGCCAGGCTGCGCCCGATGTGCAGCTCAAGGCGATCCTCCTGCCTCAGCCTCCTCGATGCTGGCATCACAGCCATGTGCCACCACGCCTGGTTTAATAAATTGTATTCTTTTAAAATCCAGGCATGTCTCTTGTTGCTGAGGCAGCCCCTGCCCACACCTCCCCTGCCCGCAGCTTGGCCTTGGCTGGTCCCTGGCTCCCGGTTCCCTGCCTGTTCACCCTCCCCCATGCCGGGTATCCCCAAGATGCCGACCGAGGCAGTAGGGGTGCACATCAGGGCTGCTGCCTGGGGGTGGCAGCCTGGGGCCATTATCAGGACACAGATAGAAGAGATGGAAAGTGGGGGCCCTGGCCCAGGGTGGGGCTGCTCTAGGGGACACCTGGCTGTGACCCCCAGGGGTCCCCCTCTGCGCCTTGCCCACCCCCACCCCCCCGGAATCCCGAGGAGTGGGCAGGGCTCAGCCCCAAGCCGCTACCCCAGTAACCGGCAGACAGAACACTGCAGGGCCCGGGCCTGCCTCCCAGTGGGTGGTGTCCACTCCCACCTGCACCCTTGGTCCGCCCAGGCCAGACCCCCGCCCAGCCATGCAGCACCCGCAACCCTTCCCGGCCGCCGCTTCCCAAGATGGCTTCAGCCCCCAGGGCCAAGAGAGCACCGCAGGCCCCGGCGTCTGCTCCATGCTCCCAGGCGCTGACCCCCTGCCCGCCGTGGGTATGACGGGGTGGCATTTGGGGGTGGCTGGCAGGCAGGGCTCCCGCCCAGCAGCTCAGGGCCCCTGCCGCCTGGCACCTCTGTCCACAGCCTCTGCGAACCTGCTGTACCAGCCCCCAAGCCCGGAGAAAGACTTGTTTCCGGTCCCCCCGGCAGGTACCGGAGCCCCCCAACCTAGAATGGAGATGTGGGAGCCGGGTGGATGAGTGGGGCCCGCGTCGCCCCTGCCCCATCCCTAGAGGGCACCCCCAAGGTGGGGCTGTGCCCCCAGTGCCCTGGGTGGGACCCTCTGAGCAGAGGCCATGTCCCCCCCCGATAAGCCCCTGAAACAGGCTGTATCGCTCGTCCCCCAGGTGGGTCCCCCAAAGCAAAGCCTGGTGCCACTGTCACCCAAAGGAGCTGCAGAGATAAAGCCCGGGCCCTCATCTTCCGGACAGGGCCCCAAAACAAGCTCTGGGTGTCTTGGCCTCCAGAAGAGCCCTCTGCAGGCTCAGGCTGCTTCCCAGAGGGACCCCGAAAGGACCACACATGTCCCTCGTCCCTCAGCGCCGTCTCCCTCCCCGGAGGCTCCTCTCAGGGTCCCCGCCCCGCTCCTGCAGGCTTCCAGATGGCCCCCTGCGGGTGTTTCTTCGACCCCCGCATCTATCGAATCGAGTGGGCCGCCACCGACTTCGGCCAGGCCCTGTACAAGCTGGCGGTGGCCGGGGGCCCCGCCTCACCGGGCAGCTACCTCCTGGAGCCCCAGCGCTACGCCAAGGCCCCAGTGCCACCCCCGTACCCCCACTACCAGCCGGGCGGGCCCCCGTACGTCATGCCCTACTTCCCGCCAGAGGGGCCTAGCCACGAGGCCCTGGGCTTCATGGGGGACGGGGGGCCCCCCGGCTTCGTGGAGCTGCCCCCGCTGCTGCTCAAGGAGGGCCAGGCCCCCCTGACACCCGCCAAAGACGCCAAGCTGTCCTCGCTGCTCCTCACGCTGCCTGCTGAGGCCCCGCTGCCCCCCGGCACCTACGGCCACCTCCGCAGCCACCGAGGCCAGGGCCCTGGGCCTGAGGTGTCCGGCCAGCCGGCCGAGCCCTCAGCCTTCACCAGCAAGGAGCCGCAGGGCGTCCCCGGGGCTGGGCCAGGCCTGCCGCCCCCGCCAGCCCCCTCCGAGCCCAAAGCCCCGGAGCCCACAGGCGAGACCCCGGTGCGCGCGGGGGCCCGGCCCTCCGCGCTGCCGGACAAGGTGCTCCTGGAGGACGCCATGAGGCTCTTCGATTGCCTGCCGGGCCGCGCCGAGCCCAGAGCGGCCGCCGGAGCCTCGGGGCGCAAGGTCCCCGGGCCGCGCCTGCCCGACAGCGGCGGCGGCGGGGACGACTCGGCCGGTGACATCCGCTCGCTGCGCCTGCCTGAGGAGCTGCTGTCGTTCGACTACAGCGTCCCCGAGATCCTGGACACGGTGTCCAACGTGGACTATTTGTTCAACTTCAAGGCGCTGGATGAGGAGGCGCCGGCCTGCCCTGCGACCCCCGGAGCTGAGTCCGCAGCCCCCGTCCCCCAGGCTGACACGCGCAAGAAGAAGCGGGCCCCCTCCTCTGCCAGGAAGGGCAAGGGGAAGGCGGGGGGCAAGGGCAAGCAGGCGGCCGCTGGGGCCAGGCAGGACCTGGGCGCTGCCCCCCATTAAAGTAGATTTGGTTTCTCACCTTTGTGTCTCGGGGGGTCTCGGGTTCTGGTGGCCATCGGCGGGGCGTGGACACGTCCCCGGGCCACGCTGTCCTGTGGATGAGCACGGCTGCGTCCCACACAGCACAGTGAGGCCTGCCGCCCCCGGAAGACCCAGGCTTCCGGAGCCAAGCAGGGGGCCCTGGAGTCGCAGGAGATGGTGAACAAGTCCCCTGGGTCTGGAAAAATGACAGCCAACTGGCAGAGGTGGGAACAGCCTGAGAAGTGGGGGCCACCCACTGCCTAGACTCCTGCGTTGAGGTTTTTGTTTTGTTTTGAGACAGGGTCTTATGTTGCCAAGGCTCACCTCAAACTAGTGGCAATCCTCCTGCCTCAGCCTCCTGAGTGCTGAGCTTGCAGGTTTGCACCACCATGTAAGAAGCTGGCCTGGCTAGATTGCTTTAAGATGAAGGGATGGCTGAAGGCATAACTCAGTGCTGGGTGCTTGCCCAGCAAGAGGCAGAAGGACCTGGGTTCCATCCCCAGTACCAAAAAAAAAAAAAAAAAACAGGTATGGTGACACACGCCTGTCATCCCAGCACTTGGGAGGCTGAGGCAGGAGGATTACCATGCATTCAAAGCCAGCCTGGGCTACATAGTGAGTTTAAGGGCATCCTGAACTATATAGTAAGAGCTTGTCTCTAAAAAATGGAAACACAAAAACAAAAACAAGTATCACTATTATTATTTTGGAGGGCTCTGGGATAGAGGGGCCACCCCTGGTTGTTTGGTGCCTGTTCTTGGGGTCACTGGGGGCAGGAGGAGAGTATCCTGGATGTAAGGGGCCTGGGGGGAGACTCTGTGTGTGTGTGTGTGTGTGTGTGTGTGTGTGTGTGTGTGTGTGAGAGAGTGTGTGAGTGTGTTCTGGGGGTTGCTTGTTTTACATATCAAATATGCACTTAGGAGCTAGGTATGATGGCTCATACCTGTCATCCAGCCCTCTGGAAGGCTGAGGCAGGAAGATCACAAAGTTTGAGCCCAGCCTGGGCAATTTAATGACTTAGCAAGACCTTATCTCAAAATAAAAAGGAATGGAGCTCAATGCCAACACCCTGGATTCAATCTGCAGTACTAAAAAAAAAAAAAAAAAAAATAGTGGGGGGGAATTTATTGCTGTCTGTACCCCACAGCTGGTCCCCATTTGCCCAAGTGTGACCCAAGCTACCAAAGTGTCACAAAATACAGGGAGAAAATCATGACCAGTGTGCATGGCTTCCTGCTTTGTCACAGAATATTTTATTTTCAGACAGCAGCCTGGACTGAGACCCCCAGGGGCGGGATCAAGGGGGCTTCCCGGGCCTCCGGAGACAGAGGCAGAGCCTGGAGCATCTCCAGCACAGCTGCCTGTAGGCCTCCTTGAGCTTGTGGCCGCTGCTGGCGCACACCAGCTTGGGGAGGATGTGGGCCAGCCACACGGCCAGCAGCGTGCCGGCCACCAGCAGGACGATGGTGATTAGGGGCCTGAAGAGGGGCAGCGGGTAGGCGCCGTACACGTAGATGCTGAAGGTGGTCTCCAGGTGGCAGTAGCTGTGGGCACAGGGAGGGGAGGCCTTGGTCCCGCCCGCCGCATGCAAACCCGGGGGTAGGAGAGCCCACGGCAGCGACCAGGCTCATCGTACGGGTTTGGGAGTTGCTTGTTGTTTTTGGTTTTCTGAGACAGGGTGTCAGTATGTAGTTCAGGCTGGCCTTGATCTCAGTATGTAGCCCCGCTGGGCCTCGAAATCACAGGGATCTTCCTGCCTCAGCCTGCTGAGTGTGGGGACGACAGGTGTGCGCTGCCCTGTACTCGAAGCTCAAAACCTTTTTTTGATCCTCAGATGGGTGGGCGGTCCACAGATGTCACTTCCAGGGGCCCTGCTCACCTGTAGTACGGATCCAGGATCGAAAGGTGGAAGATGTAGATCCCATTCCTTTGTTTGAAAATGATCTTGTTGTCCGTCTGGCCCCCCAAGATCTGATACTGGACGTCCGGCCACCTCAAGGGGCTGCTGGAGCTGTGGCTGTGGCAGCTTACGTAGTTCTGGGAGATGACAGAGGGAAGTGGGGCCCTGGCCTTCAACGGCACCCGGTGGCACTGAGGGCCAAGTGTGTTGGTACCAGGAATCAAACTCAGGACCTTGCAGTTGCCAGGCAGGCGCTTAAACCGCTGAGCTCTATCCCCAGCCCGTGTTTTGCTTTTCTTGAGACAAGGTCTTACTCTGCAGTTCAGGCTGGTCTGGAACTCACTACCTAGGTCGGACTGGCCTCAAACTTGCAGCGCTCCTCCTGCCTCAGCCTCCCAGAATGCTAGGATGACAGATGTCCGCCACCACGCCTGGCCAGAGGCTGAGTCTTAATCACTGCTTGTCACATTCAGCCCAAGGCTGTGTCAGTATCTTCTGCATTGAACCATGTGTGCCCCCACCCCGCAAAAAAGAGAAATCATATGTTGAAATCCTAATCCTCCAGGACCTCGGAATATGACCTTCTTCAGACGGAAGGTCTCTGCAAAAGTACCTCAGTTAGAAGAAGAGCAGGGCGCCCGCTGCTCCGATAGACTGCTGTCCCTATAAAAGGGGTGGAATCGGAGCCTGGCAGAGCATCCCGCACCTGTCATCAAAGCACTCTGGGAGACTGAGGCAGGAAGATCGCCAGTTTCAGCCCTATTTGGGGGAGTTGGCACCTGTAATGAGACCTCGTCTCAAAATAAAAGCTTTTTAAAGAGGGCAGGGTGTGCAGCTCAGTGTGAAGGCTCTGGCATAATCCCGAACTCAAAAGAGGAAGGAAGGAAAGAAGGAAGGAAGGAAAAAGAAAGAAAGAAAGAGAGAGAGAAAGAATGAAGGAAGGAAGGAAAAAGGACAAAATAGAAAAAGCAAGCCTGCAAACTGCCTCACGGCGAGAGCGGGGAGCGCGCGCCATCTGCTGGTGGCCCTGCCACGTTGCGCTATGCTCCTGGCTTTGCCCTGGACCCACAGCGGCGCAGGGGCTGCAGAAAGCTACTGGGCAGGGCGAAGACGCCCGCAGTTTCCTCTGCGTGGGGACTCCACTCCCTGTTGTCGACCGTCTACGAACGGGCTCGCGCTACGGAAGCGCTGTTACCACAGATCAGATTCTGGGGGCCTTTTTTCTTTTTCCAGCACCGGGGATGGAACCTGGGGCCTTCGCACTTCACTACAGCCCCCGCCCTTTCTTTCTTGCATTTTGAGACAAGGTCTTGCTAAGTCACTAAGTGGCCCAGGCTGGGCCTCACCTTTGCGAGCCTCCTGCCTCAGCCTCCCGAGCGCTAAGATGCCAGGCGTGCATCACCCGGCTCTCGCTGGGAATCTAATCAGCCTGTCCTGTATTCCCGTTGCCGCGGGACTGTCGCGTGTCGTGTCACTTTCCCGAGCTCAGCGCCTGCCCCCCACCAGCGAGCTCCTTGCCCGCCCCTTCCCTCCGGCAGGGACCGCGGCGTCCCCGAGTTCCCGCAGCCACCAGGGGGCGCTACCTCTCTGTTCCAGGAGGCGTGGCCCGGCTCGGGCGCGTTCTGCAGCACCGAGCTCCAGTTCTGTGGCTGCGAGCGGCAGCCCGCGGCGCCCGCGGTGAGCGCGTAGGAGAAGGTGTGCAGCCCGTGCACCTCGCGCAGCACGAACTCGGCCTCCACCAGCTCCGCGAACTGGTCCCCGCGCCACCTGCGGGAGGAGACAGAGCGGGGAGCAGGGGAGAGGGGACTTCTGAGACCCTCAACTTCATTACCACCCAAGTTATTGGTTGGCTTTCCCGACTTAGGCTGTGGGCGCCAAAGGGTGTCTGGTTTCCTTGACGGCCTTGGCATCCAGTATATTGTTGGACTTACACTGGGCACTTCGTAAATGTTTGTTGAATGAATATTTGGACAGCAGCCCCTGACAGCCTCTGCTTCCCGTGTGCTGCCACACGGTGACAGATGGGAGCTCACATCTGATTCTTGTCTGGATCTGCCTCCATTTACAAGTCTCCCTGATGAACTCCTACTCATCCATCAGAACCCATCAACCACCCACACTGATGCAGACATCACAGCTGGGAACAGAGATGGTGAATACAGTGGGGGGAGGCAGCAGGGTCCCTGGGGGTGGGGGAAAAAGTGCAGCAGACTGAACTATGCCGTCCCAAACTGCATGTGATGAAACCTCCAGCGCCCCCATGCGGCTGTGTGTAGAGACAGCCTTTAGGTGGAACAGATGCACCGTGGTGGCGCGCCTGCGCAGGGCAAAGGCAGGCGGGAGGCCGGGGCAGGAGGATCGCAGTGAGTTTGAGGCCAGCCTGACCTACAGAGTGAGACCCTGTCTCACGAAAATGCATACATACATACATCATGGTAACGGTAGTTACATGAGGTTGTTAAACTGGGGCCCTGGGACTCGAAGCTGACTCAGGGGAAGGGCGGAGCCTCGGGAAGGGAGGCCTGGGGGCCGGGGAGGAGGGCGCAGGGTCTTACAGCTCGATCACCGGCTTCCAGGGCGTCTCGTAGTAGACGAGGCCGGGGCAGCCCAGGTCTCTGAACGGGTAGAGCACCTGCAGGTCCTTCGTGGCCGCCTGCCCGCCGGGGCCTGGGTCCAACGATTCCCTGGGCGAAGAAGCAGAGTGGAGTCGGGGAGCCTCGGCCCCTCCTGCCCCGCCCGGTCCTCTGTGTGTCGCGGGGGTGGGGCGATGGCGCCAGGTTGGCTGTTAGAGCCTCCCACGTTGATATTTCCATAAAAGTGTTTGTTTTCTCCTTCTTTTTGTCTTTTTTTTTGAGACAGGGTCTCACTGTGCAGTTCAGGCTGGCCTTGAGCTCACTTTGTAGCCTAGGCTGGTCTCAAACTCACAATGATCCTCCTGCCTCAGCCTCCTGAATGTTGGGATTACAGGCGTGCACCACCACACCCGGCTATAAAAGCATTTCTTTCCTTCCTTCCTTCCTTTTTTGTTTTGTTTTGTTTTGTTTTGTTTTGTTTTGTTTTGTTTTGTCTTGTTTTGTGAAGGAGTCTCACTGTGTAGCCCAGACTGGCCTCAAACTCACACCGATCCTCCTGCCTCAGTCTCCTGAGCATTGGCATTACAGGCTCACATTTTCTTTCCCTTCTTTCCGTTCTTCTTTGCTTCCTCCTTCTCTGCCTTCTCTTCTTCCTTCCTTCTAGTCCCTTTTTTCCCATGCTGGGTTGGCACCCAGGGCTCAGGCGTGACAGGCAAGTGCTCCCCACTGAGCTGCACCCTGACCCTGTCTGCTATGGGGTGAGGTTAACCTTCCCATGCAGGGTGGCTGAGCCAGGTGCCTGGGCCTCTGTAACATGGGCGGGCCGCGCCGACCAGCTAAGCCTGAATAGCGCAAAGGAGCTGTGCAGCCTGTGGCCAGGGGCTCAAAGCACCCTGCGCCCTGCGAGCCACAAGGCCTGGGGGGCCCGGCGGGCGGAGGAGATGTCGGAAGGGACCTCTGCCCCGGGTCCCCCGGGCCCTCACCCCCACCCCGTGCACAGCCACGGCCGGACTTCAACCGCGTGCAGTCGGGCGGCAGGGCTGGGGCACCGCTTACCTCTCGATGACGTAGGTGTAGTGGTCCTGCAGCACTGCGGGGCTGAGGATGCCCGAGGAGCAGGCGGAAATCTTGCTGCGAGCGAGAGAAGAAGGTGAGAAGTGGCCTCACCCCGGCGGACGGGGGCGAAAGATGCCCCTTGCCAGGGACAGTGCAAGGTGGACCTGGCAGAGCCCAGCCCTGGCTCAGGAGGGCTGGGTAGGAAACAGCTGAGACAGCTTGCTCTTGGGGTACCTTGCTATCATTATTATTATTATTATTATTATTATTAATTTGTTATTGTTATTGTATATGATGGGTGTGGTGGTGCCTGTTTGTTACCCCAGCATACTGGGAGGCTGAGGCAGGAGGATCACAAGTTCAAGCCCAGCGTAGGAAGTTCAGAGAGTTAGCGAGACCCTGTCTCAAAATAAAAAATCAAAAGGGGCCAGGGTGCAGCTCAGAGGCGGTGCCGCCCTGGGCTCCGTGCCCTGCCCCCCACACGCACACTGTGTTACACTGCAGCAACTCTGCGACCCTGTGTTTTCAGGGATGCTCTGCCAGTCACATAACTGTTTTCAGTGCTGGGCTCGGCGGCATGGAGCGTGCCCCACAGCTAGGCCCCGTCCACGCCGTCCACCTCCGGGACTTTCCACCTCCCGAGCTGAGCCTCCGTCCCCAGGAAACGCTGACTCCTGTCCCCTCCCCAGCCCGGCACCACCGTCCTCCTTCTTGTCTCTGTGGCTCTGGTGACTAGTTCCCTGAGTAGCACGGCACAAAGGTCCATCCCTGCTGGAGCAGTGTCAGGGGCTTGTCCCTTTTCATGGCTGAGTAATACTCCACTGCGTGGATGGACCACACTGTGTGCATCCATTTCCCCCTCGACGGTCCCCTGGGCTGTTTCTACCTCTTGGCCTGGGTGGATTGTGTTGCTGTGGACACAGGCTCGCAGTATCTCTTAGTTCTGCTTTCCATGCTTTTGGGTATAGACCTAGAAACAGCGTTGCTGTGTTCTATGGTTCCTTCCTTCTCTGTCTCCTTTTCTGTTTTGGTTTGAGGACCTGCTGGTCTATTTCCTGTAGTAGCAGCAGCACTGTTCTACATTTATTGCAACAGTACACAGGGTTCCAATTTCTCTGTGTCCTTCCAACTCATTATTTGCCTTTTTTTATTTTCGAGACAGAGTCTGGCTATGTAGCCCAGGCTGGCCTCAGATGTATGCAGGAGACCCTCCTGACTCAGCCTGTGAGTGTTAGGACTACGACATGCACCATCGTGCCTGGCTCTCTCTCTAATAGTTACACGCTAATGGGAACGAGGCATTACACCCTTAAGGTTTCATTTTGTACTTCCCTTGCGGCCAGCAGCAGGCCCTGTGCTCCTTGGCCATATGTAAACCTTCTTTGGGGAGCTGTCTCTTCAAGTTTGTTTTTTTATTTTGTCCAGACTTTTTAAAAAATATTTTCCTGGTGCCGGGGACGGAACCATGCCCTCACACAGGCTGCTTAAGCACTCTGCTGCCCGCCTACACTCCTGGGCTTCAGGCCTTTTTATTTTTTATTTTGAGATACAGTCTCCTCAAACTCAGGATCCTCCTTTTTTTTTTTTCTTTTTTCAAACAAGGTCTGGCTGTGCAGTTCAGGCTGGCCCCAAACTCACTGTGTAGCCCAGGCTGGCCTCAGACTCAACAGAATCCCCTGCCTCAGGCTGCGGAGTGCTGGGATGACAGGTGTGCACCACTGCACCGAGCTCCAGGATCCTCCTGTCTCAGTCTCCTCAGTGGCTCAGATTACAGGTGTGCCCCCACCACGCCCAGCTCCCCCACTTTCGGCACTCGGCATTGAATCCAGGGTTTTTGCATGGAACTGTATCCCCACCCCTTGTTCAGTTGCCCAGGTTGGGGCCGGGGATAGAGCTCAGCGGCACAGCGCCTGCCTGGCAAGTGCAAGGTCCTGAGTTCGATTCCCAGTAGCAAAAAATAAATAAATAAATGAAGTGCCCAGGCTGGGTTTCAACTTGTGATCCTCCTGCCTCAGCGTGTTGAGTAGCTGGGGTAAGGCATGAGCCACTGTACCCAGTCCTCCTTTTTTTAAAACAAAAAACATATTTTTATTTTACTCTATATTTGCAAAAACGCTTGCAGAAGCAGTACAGAAGGTTCCCACGTGACCCACCCAGGCTCTCGAAGGGAAGCAGGCTCCACGGTTACAGCTAAGGAGCCAGGGCTGGTACACTGGAGGCCTCGGGCTTTCCCCCCTATTTCCTTAGTTTTCCGCTAACGTCCTCCTTCCTCCCGAAACTCCGCCCACGGCCCCGTAAGACATTTAGTTGCCACCTCTCCGCCGGCCCTCTTGCGGGGACAGTTCTTGCCCTCTCCTTGTTTTGCGTGACCTGCATGGTTTGTGGGGATTTGGTCATGCATTTTGGAGCATGTGCAGCCACTGGGGATGGTGTGATGTTTTTTCTTTTTTTTTGAGACAGGGTCTGACGACGCACCCCAGGCCTAGCACTTGTGGCGATCCTCCTGCCTCAGCCTCCTGAGCGCTGGGATGACAGGCTCACACCCATGCCTGGGTGAACTTTTATTTTGGAAAATATTAAACATACCTCAAGGTAGAATAATCTAATGTCACCCGCCCCACTCCAGCAGTCATGACCTTGTGGCCACGGCCACCCCTACGTCCGCCCCGCAGCCCTGCCCACTCCGACACCCACGCACTCACTTTTGCACGATGATCTTCTTTTCCTGGTCACACCCGATTGAAATGAGTGCCGTCTGCAGGGACAGAGGGGGTCCGGGTTAGCGGGGCCCCAGTGGCCGGCCTCAGTGGGGACTTGCAGAGAGACACGGTAACGTGGGAAGGGCTGGAAACCGTGTGGCCTGGGTTCTGACGAGGGGACTTGGGCACCAGGATGCACTGCGACCACAGCGGGCCTCATACCTCACGGTGCCCAGCATGTCCGCCTGGCTGTGCCGCAGTCACCACCAGCCACTTCCGAAACATGCTCCTCCTCCCAAATTGAACCTCTATCCCCAGGAAACACTGACTCCCATCCCCTCCCACTAATCTCTGAGGGTTCCCCCATCCTGGGCATTTCCTGTGCGTGGAGCCCACGCCGTGCGTCCTTCTGTGTCTGGCTTCTCTCACGGAGCATGGTGTCCTCCATATCAGTCCCTGTGCTGTGAGTTTCAGAGCCCTGCTCCTTTTCATGGGTGTGTAATGTTCCAGTGCAGATAGACCATGTTGTGTGTACCCACTGCTCTATCCATAGACACTTGGGCTGCTTCCACCATCAGCCGCTGTAAAGGACGCAGCCGTGAACATGAACGTACACATTACCAGGTCGGGGTGTGGTCTTCCATTCTCACGGAGCCTCTCACGGAGTGCTAGTGCCTGAGTTGCCAGGCGCAGCTCTGAGAATGCCCAGCAGGGAGAAGCCCTGACAGGAAGGGTAGGGAGTGGTGCGGGCAGCTTCCAGGGACAAGGACGGGGCCCAGTGACCCTGCAATCAAGACAGGATGCCCACCACCTTTAGATCCTGGACAAGAGCTCAGTCGGCTGCTTAGGTCCTGCTCCTGTGCCTTGTTGCTCAAGACAGAATACGTGACAGGGAGGTTTGGGGCCTACCAGTGGCTTCAGGTCCACACAGGACATTTCCTTGTTGGCTATGTCGACAGTCAGGGTGGAGATGGTGGGTCTCTGCAGGCTGCATGCAAACAGCCTGCGTTAGTGCTGACCGTCCCCACGGTAAACACAGCAGAGCTCCATTCTTCACCCATCCAGCCAGCTCCCCACCCACTAAGCCCAGCTGTTCATCCGCTGCCCGCTCAGCTCCCACACACCTGCCAGCCTCCTAGGCATCCACCCCCCACACCTCTCACCCACCCCTCACCCATTGTTCGTCCACTCGTCCAGTCAACACGATCATCCATCCACGCCCTTGTCAGTTCCTCCACTCACCCATCCACCCATCCTTCACCCACTCACACATCTGCCAGTCCTCCCATCCACCCGCCCATGCCCTCCCCATCCATCCATTTACCCATACTACTCTCCAACTATCTATCCCTCCCTCCATCCATCCACACATCCATCCATCCATGCATCCACACATCCATCCA